GAGACATTATTTCCCAGAAAAAAGGCGTATGGTAACATAAAGAAATATATCATGTTTTGTCCATATTCGGTACAGGTTTAAGTATCATATTTTGGGATTTCATCAGGGACTGTAAGTTTTCTTGTTTTTAGAGAAGATGTTGAGAACTTTAGATACAAGGAGAGCTGCAGAAAAGATTCTTCAGTTTTGATTTGGAACAGAAATGGGCCCCTTGGGAACAGAAGTCATCCCTGCTCCAGACAAGATGGTTTAAAACAACTAGAAGATAAACAAGGTTACCAAAAGAAAGATATCAGGCGGCATCACCTTTTGAAGAAGCAGTGCTTCTATGTTCTTGAAAAGAATATGCCTGTGATTTTAATTTCCTGCTGCATGACAGATGTAGATCTCATCAAATACAACTGTTATTAACAAAGAGGTAGAGGGATTAGGAAACTTCATTGACCAAAATATTTTATTACTAAATGCCCTCACACTTATCCATAATTCACAGTTCACTGTCTTTTGCTCCAGGGGCACCTCAAAGAGAGGGGGGAGGCAAGAGAAAAGGAAGATGGCGGTTACACATTCAAACCCCTGCCCCCTTTTAATATCTGTAGACACATAGAAAACAGAGGTAGGCAATCATAACCACCAACTTAATTGACCTTTTTAATCACTCTCTAGCTCAATAGACACACGTGTCTTGGTTAAAATAACTCCCCGGACCTTTACTGATGTTAGTAAGAAGATTGATTGGATAAGCAATTTAAGACTTTTCTAGAAAAATTTTGAAATGTGTCTCAGTGGTTCAAGAGACCATTAAGAGGGGAAAAAACACCCCACAGTGCCAGGAGATAGAATCTTTTACACTGTTTATACACAATCTTCTTTTCCCCTTCAAAAGGAATGATGTAAAATTAATTATGAAAGACCTTTATGATAGAATTTTAAATACTTCAAGCCAAACCTTTGCCCACATATGAAACATGGAAGTGCCAGAGAAAGATCCCTGAGTTGGTGCAGCATATGTCTAGATTCATATGAAGCCTTGCTGGCTTCACGGTTAATTGCCCCTTCTCCATTCAGTAACCCAGACAGCACATTTAAAGAGGAACAAAACTCATGTAAACTCAATGTCACTCCTTCAGAGACATAAACAAGCAAGCAAGCAAACCAATCACACAAAGATACCGTGTTTCTCACAAAATAAGGCCGGGCCTTATTTTTTTTTGAGCCCCGAAAAAACGGCTAGGCCATCTTTTGGGGGATGACTTAATTCCCCCCCTTGCATCCTCATCTAGAGCGCCCTGCGGGCAGCCTCGCCACCAGCCGTTCCTAACGGGTGATCATGGTGAAGCGCAGAGAGTTCCCTACTCCAACCAAACACCTTTGCTGCACACCCAAGACCTTTGGCACCTGCCGCTGTTGCTTTCCATTCTGCCCATTCCGCCACCATGTTTGGAGCTGCCACTTCTGTGTTTGGAGTGCCGCTGCCATTTGGAGCACCACCGCCACGTTTGGGAGCTGCCGCTTCCGTGTTTGGAGTGCTGCTGCCATTTGGAGCACCACCGCCACATTTGGAGCTGCCGCTTCCATGTTTGGAGTGCCACCACCATTTGGAGCACCGCTGCCAAGTTTGGAGCTGCCACTTCCACGTTTTGAGCTGCCGCTGTGTTTGGAGTGGCTGCGGCGCTCCAAATGGTGGCGGTGCTCCAAACAGCAGCAGTGCTCCAAACGTGGAAGTGGCAGCTCCAAACACGGCAGCAGCTCCAAATGTGGACATGGCAACTCCAAACAGCGGCAGTGCTCCAAACAGCAGTGGGGTTCCAAACGCGGAAGTGACAGCTCCAAACGCAGCGGCAGCTCCAAATGTGGAAGTGGCAGCTCCAAATGCAGAAGCAGCAGCTCCAAACAGCGGCAGTGCTCCAAATGTAGAAGTGGCAGCTCCAAATGTGGCGGCAGTATAGGCAGAAGGGAAACCAACAGCGGCAAGCACTGAAGGTCTCGGGTCTGCAGCAAACATGCTTGGCAGGAGTAGGGAGCTCTCCGCGCTCTGCCATGATCACCCGTTAGGAGCAGCTGGTGGCGAGGAATTGCTGCCTGTGGGGCGCTCCTAACGGCAAGTTCCCCCACCCTTCCCCCTTATTTTGCATGTTTTAAAATAGGCCTAAATTTGGGGGGAGGGGCTTAATTTGATTTTATGCCAATAAAACATGCTGGGCCTTCCTATTGGTGGAGGCCATATTGTTGGAGAAACATGGTAAGTAATGCAGAGAACAGAAGCTCTGCCAGGTGCAGACAATTTCTTCCTCTGCTGCTCTGTTGTATTTCATTTTCCAGGTGTTCTTAGATCAAAAGTAAGACTAGATTGTAGTCAGCTTAAATGCACAGTGCAAACATACTTTTAAAACTCAATATATTAAGTGGCTTCAGAAAGCATCTATTTAAATAAGCCTAAACATACGACAGCCAATAGCCGTAAGAACTTGGATGCAGAAAAACAAATAAGGAACAAAGACTGGGGTTTTTTTCCTCTTACACAAATATGTCCTGTCCCCTTTATGTTGTCAGCATTGTATTCCCTGACCCCATGACATATTCTTAAGCCATCCTTAGATACAGTGGTGCTAAAGTTGCATTTTCCTCCCTACTTAGGGATATAATGTTCGTCAAGCTTAACCAACCCTCACTTTCCAGGAAAGATGTTTGCCAGTGATAGAAAAAAAAGAGGAAAGACAGTCAGTCAGTATTCTGTCTGTTTTCTGCTGACTAGGATATGGGTAGGAAGCATTTCAACAACAGTGAGAAAAGGCCCTTAGAATCCTCTAAAGTTACCTGCCTTTAGAAACTAATTTCAAAAAACAATTCCTGTGTGCAAAAAAAAAGAGGTGAATTCAAAATACACTGCATGGTTAAATATCTATGGTGATTCTCAGTCATCCAGATCATGTCTGTCCCAAAGGTGCTTTTTCAAGAGGCAACTGGACTTCCTTTGCTTTTCCTTGAGGATGTTTAGCTTTTCATCTAAGAAGCTGAACTAAAGAAGCTTCTTGAATGAGAAGCGAAATATCTTCAAGGAAAAACAGAGCAAGTCTAGTTGCCTCTTGAAAAAGCACCTTTGGCACACTGGATGATTAGTGTATGAGGTTGGAGTTCTTGTTGTAGTTAATTGCAAAATCATGTCCAACTCATTGCAACCCATGGACGTTCCTTCCTCCAGGCCTTCCTATCCTCTACCATTTTCTGGAATCCATTTAAGCTCATGTCTACTGCTTCAGGATAGAGTAGTCCCCCTCGATCACAGAAGCTTCACTTTGGGACAATCATTATTTCTCAGACCAGCCCTGCCCCTCAAAAGACTGTTGTTGACAGAGTAAAATTGAGAAGCTCATGTAAGCTATCTTGTAATTCTGGAGAAAAGGTGTGAGATAAATCTAATAATTATCCTTCACCTCCATAATCATCATCTGCTCTTAGGTACTGTTCTTAAAAAAAATGCTGTCAGGTAGGACACCCAGACTTCATTTTAATATTACTATGGGACTACCTTTTTTTCCCTGGGGGAAAAAACCTTTGGGCATATTGCAAAGACAGCCTTCAAGAGGACCTTTCTGAAATCTCATCTTCTTTCCAAAGGCTGGGATTCATCATTTATGATTATCTACGTACCTACATTTGCTGTTGTTGTAAGAATAACTATCTAAAAGTATGGAAACTTTCCATGGAAATCCATGGTTAGAAATTAAAATCGGGCATCCATGCCTTCAAATCTCACCTGTTACATCTGTCAGAGATATGGATTATACAGATCAAGGTTATAAGGCACCTGGCCTGAAAAACAGCCAGGTTTGATAAGTAATGAGAATGAAAACTCTTGCCCCAACTGACGACATTTGCACTCCTTAAATCTTCAAGGACCACAAACTAAATTGCGCAAATGTCCCATGTCTCTTAGGATATGGAGAGACAGAATTGCTCTCTCTTTTACTATATCACTCATGAATTTTATCTGGATCCTCTTTATTTTCTTCTTGAGAGATCTATTAAGAATAAATGTCTATGGAGATTCTCAGTCATCCAGATCCTGGTTCTCCCAAAGGTGCTTTTTTCAAGAGGCAACTGGACTTTCTGTTTTTTCTTTGAAGACGTTTCTCTTCTCATCCAGAGCTAAAGAAGCTTCTTTGATGAGAAGCGAAACGTCTTCAAAGAAAAAACAGAAAGTCCAGTTGCCTCTTGAAAAAAGCACCTTTGGGGTATTAAGAATAAACTATACAGAGGGAAGGTTGACACTTAAATCATGCTGTCCCATTGTTAGGAAGTAACTATTATGATTATTCTGCTCTTATGGCACCCCCAATTATATCTTTGAAGGCCACTCTGGACAGTTCACACAGAAACGAATACTAACCAAGATGAATTAATACCGGTGGTTTACACAAAAATAGCTTTGTGGCAAAATATTTCAGGGTTGTTGTTTTTTTTGTAGAAGTACACAGAATCAGTCTATAATACCACCAATTACAAAGATTTCAGGCAGCAAGTGAGAAAAACGATAGCCCACCAGTCAGACAGGCTAAATTATGGATGTCCAACCTTTTGGCTTGCCTTAGCCACACTGAATGAAGTGGAATTGTCTTGGGCTGCATACAAAACATGTAATATAGTTACTGTTTATAAAATATTGCTAAAAATCACATAGTAATGTTAAAGGTTTACAATCTTATTGGCTGTATTACTACCTATCCAGGGCTGCATGCAGCCTATGGGCCGCAGAATGGACACACCTGTGCTAAACGGATCAATGAGTTGACTTCTAATGAGACATTTCTCTATACATTTATGGTCTACAGTTATACAAACTTGGATAGATATGTCTCCAGGCAATTATTCTTTGAATAAAGAATTGATATAAGAGAGAAATGGCAAAACTAAAATCTTTTGAATCTTTCTTTCAAAATACCAGCTTTCCACACTAAATCTTTACTAGTGAATTCAGCTTTCTGGTATAGAAGCTGGAGGCTAAGAAACAAAGATGGGAGAAAAGGTTTCCCACACAAGAACAAAACATGGCAGAAGTAGATGGTTAAGGGTATGTTGAACTTTTCTACCCTCTTTCTCATAAGCCTGCAAGCATAAGCATTGCAGCCCTCTTCTAATTCTAGAATTTAGGCATCTACGCAAAGCCAAGCATGGTTTCAGCAGCCAGTCTCCAGTAAAATATGATGAATATACAGTAGCCAATCAGGTGGTCAAACATATTTCTCAAAAAATTCTGATTGGCTACCTCAAGTCATGTGGTATTTTCTGTCTCATAAAACCTGACAGGACTGTGTCAAAGAGGGTCTTGTGGGTGAAGGATAGATTCATCCTACCAGGGGCTACTTCTGACAAGAACCATAGAATATCTCACAAACAATTGCTTGTTTCAAGAGAACAATGCAGTTCTTAGGGTGCAAAAAAAGAGATAAAAAAAAAGAAATCAAATCTTCAGAAGCAGATCTCTAAAGCTTTGCCTCCATTAAAGAGCAAACTTTACCCTCCCTCCCCAGCCATAATTTAACTGTCCAGTATTTGCACAACTATATACAGGAAAAAAAACCCAGCTACATAACAAAAGTAAAAAGAAAAACAAAACAAAAATATCAGTTTTTCATTTCTTTTGACAATTCACCCGCATTAAGTCCGAGACTTCAAAAACATGCATATTCCTTGATGTCTTTTGGAAATGTTCAAGCATGCAATTTCTTCAGTCCCAGGTAAGAGTTTACGATTCATTTTGCGGAGAAGTGGAGTTTCTTTTGTGCTGGTCATTTCTTGCTTTCTTTGCCTGGGGATAGGGACACAGGAAGCAACATTTTAAAATAAATAAATAAATTACATTTGTGCTCACCTTTCCTTAACTGGACACAATTTAATAACAAAAGAAAAGCGTCAACTCACAAAACATTCCTATGCCTGTTTTAGTAGTTGCCATTAAAAAAAAGGGGGGGGGGGGAAGGAAAAAATCTGGAAGAGCAGTGCAACAGTTTGAAAGCGAAAGCATATCCCAACTCTTATCTTTAAAAGATTGTAACTAAAATACCAGAGCTTTGCTTGCAAATGTATTTAATTGGAGAACGTGAATGAAGACACCCAGCCCGTGAACGTGCTCAATTGGAGAATCTGGTTTATGAGACACCCAGGGGGAAGAGGGGAAACAGGTTCACAAGTGACTGTAAATTACATATGCCAGAGTTGGCTTCCTACAGGGCAGTGCCAGTATGTCGCCTCTAATAAACCCTTTGAAGTTTTTTAAAGCTTGGCTTGAGAATCATGATTTATTAGTTCAATTAGATTGATTGTTGGAATCCTGACAAAAAGGATTTTCGTTGCAGAAAACATTTTTATCATCTTAAAGGGATTCAAGCATTGTATTATGCCATAACATGGTTTGTTTCACTTTGGATTAATGTATGCTGTGTACCTAGCTACTTTTGTTTGCTCGGTCGATTATGGTTGAGCAAATCATGGCTTTATCGACAGATGAAGCAGTCATGACCTCAAGATAACTAACTTGATAAGGATGGCAAACATTAAGGGCCAGAACCCTCTTCTGCTGCTGGAAAGTGATCTAAATTCTTTCTTAATTTGGTTCTACAAATGGGGCAAAAGTACAGGTAGTCCTTGACTTACAACATTTTGGTTAGCGAACCGTTCAAAGTTACAACAGCCTTGAAAATAGTGACATGACCATTTTTCACACTTATGACTGTTGCTCACATTTATGACCATTGCAGCCTCCCTATGGTCATGTGATTTACATTCAGATGCTTGACAACTGACTCATATTTATGACGGCTGCAGTATCTCGAAGTCATGCGATACCATTTTGCGACCTTCTGATAAGCCAATTCAATGGAGAAAGGATTTAACAACTGCAATGATTCACTTGGCAACGGTAGCAAGAAAAGTCATCAAATGGGATAAAAACTCACTTAACTAATTTCTCACTTAAACAACATAAATGTTGAGCTCCGTTGTGATCGTAAGTTGAGGACTACCTGTCATGCATGGCTAAAATGCAAAGACTAAGATTTTGATGGCTGGATTGTTCTCAGTCTGGGGATCTTCGATCTGTATATCTGGGAGATTTACAGAACTCTTCCATATGTACCACACACAAACACATCTCATACAGATAGTCCTCGACTTACAGCAGTTCATTTAGTGACATTCGTAAGTTACAATGGCCCTGACAAAAGTGAGTTATGCCTAGTTTTATGACCATTGCAGCATCTCCATGGTCATGTGATCAAAATTCAGACACTTGGCAACTGGTTCTTATTTATGATGCTTGCAGTGTCCTCTGGATCAGGGATCTCCAACCTTGGCAACTTTAAGACTTGTGGACTTCAACTCCCAGAGCTTTGTTGGCTGATGAACTCTGGGAATTGAAGTCCACAAGTCTTAACGTTGCCAAGATTGGAGTCCCCTGCTCTGGAACAAATTTCCCCCTGAGATGAGATTCAGAGGTGGTTTTCAGCAGGTTTTGACCAGTTTTGGAGAACCAGTAGTGGTAATTTTGAGTAGTTCAGAATACCACCTATGACTGACCCCGCCCCCATCTATTCTCTGCCTCTCAAGTCCCAGCTGATTGGCTGGGTCTTCTTTTGTTTCCCACACAGGAAAATGGAGCTGGAAAGCAGGTTAGTGGGATGGGGAGAGAATGGAGATTTTACAGTATCCTTCCCCTGCCATGCCCACCAAGCCATGCCCACAGAACCGGTAGTAAAATATTTTGAATCCCACCACTGGTGAGATTGGCTCTCACCCTCCTGATGTTTCATAAGGGCTTTAAGACCTGGCTCTGCCAGATGTCTTGGAGACACCATGGAGGAACTTCATACTGGAGGCTGTTGACTAACTAAGACTTAATCCCATCTCCCCACCCCCTGTGTGCCTGGCTTCTTCCTTTCTCATCTGGTGTTGGTGGTTGGTATTTGTTAACAACTTTATCCGCTGTGTTTCTATGACTGATGATGTTAATGTTTTTTAATGCTGTAATGTTTTAAGCCACTCATTCTAGTCGTTGGATATGAGGTGGGCTGCAAATAAATTTCATTAATAAGTAAATAAATTTTGTAAGTAAGTAAGTAAGTACATAAATTTAAGTGCTTGTTCACAACAGCTCTAGAAAATGATGCTGGCAGAAGAAGGCCATAATTTAAAATATTATCTTAATTAAATCGGGAAGGCCTGGGCTTTGGTATTTATTTTACATCGTGTCTTCTACTTTTGCAATTCAAGCTGTGCCTTATATCAACACAATTAACAAACCACAAAACTGATGGGCAATCCTGCTGCAAGGGCACTCACCATCTAAATGATTACGGGAGAGATACTTCAAGCCTTCATCCAGCATGATAACCGGCAAAGAGATTTGCAGTACTTTTCCCCATTGAGGCCAGCTAAGTGGGATCACCTGAAAGATCAGCTGCAAGATAAGAAAATGAAGTGGGTTAGGTCAAGAGCCGTGGTGACGCAGTGGTTAGAATGCAATATTGCAGGCTAATTCTGCCGACGGCTAGCAGTTTGATTCTCACTGGTTCAAGGTTGACTCAGCCTTCCATCCTTCCGAGTTGGGTAAGATGAGGACCCACGATTGTTGGGGGCAATATGCTGACTCTGTAAGCTGCTTAGAGAGGGCTGTAAAGCACTGGGGAGTGGTATATGAGTCTAAGGGCTACTGCTATTGCTACTTTCAAAGCTTAAATCTGGGGATGCTGTTGCTTCTATAGTGTTCCGAAGAGAAAAACCTGAAGGACACTCAGACTTGCTGAAGTACCAAGAAATTTCAGGATGGGCAACATTTTGGAATCTGGAACCACACCTAACTTTTGAGGAAGAGGTGTGGGCCTTCCCAAAACCAGGTGTAGCTGCTGCTCATTTGTATTTTTACATTCTTTTGTTGTTTCAGACCAATGTTTTTCAACCTTACCAACTTTAAGACTGGGGGACTTCACTCCCAAAATTCCCCAGGCAGCCATTCTGTTTTTCTACAAAGAAGCCTAGAGTCTTAAATTTGCAAAGATTGAGAAATATTGCTTTAGGTTCTTGTTTCTGTGTATTTGCTGCTTCAAAAAGGGAGGGAACCCTACTGCTGATTTTTTGCAATGTTGGTATCTGAATTCCCCCAACTGTGATCTGAAATCCTGTGTCAGGATATTCACAACCTGGCAGAGGCATGGTAACAAGGTCAGCCAATGAGGACTGTTTGCAAACTGAAACTGGAAGTAGTATGGGCGTGGCTCTATATTGATCTCTGAGCTCTGAAGCTACAAGTCTACTTTGCAACTCTGATTCAAAACTGAAACTGTTCTCTGCTGTTCTCTCCTCTGCTCAAGTTGGAAGAATCTGCTGTTGGTATTGTGAATTTACTTCATGTCTTATCATGTATATAAAGAAGTTAATGAATCCTGCTGAATCAGTATCTGTGTGTGCTTTCTGGATTTGATTTCTGCCACAAACTCTGACATCCTGGGATTCTGGGATCCTGAAACCAACATTGCCCATCATTGCTACCAGGAATCCAAAGAGGGCAGTGGAGACAGGGTGTGGCTCAGTGACATCCTTCTAAATCCAATTTGGGTGCAAAAGACACTACTTACAGGCAATGGCTTCACGTACAGAATCAGGAAATGCAGAGCCATAGACATGACAATGGCTCCCAGGAGCCAGATGTTCAGCCAGGGAGGCATCCTGAGCAGCGACTGGTTTTCAGACACACTGTAGGGAAGACAAAAGCTAATCATGCATCCCCAATTCCTTAGTTTTCTGAAGGCATCTACATTCCTTCATTCCTGCAAACCCCTGGTTTTCGCTCCATGTCATGGGTGGTCTGCAGACTGGTACTTGTTCACGGCCTGTTAGGAACCAGGCTGCGCAAGCATGGGATATAGGTTGTATGTGCGAAACTATCTCTTCCCCTTCCCTGATGCTGCTTCTGCTGCCAGTCCATGGAGCCAGAATGGTTGGGAACCACTGCTCTGTGTCATTTGAGGCAAGGGACACAGTTCTAAGCAATGACAATTACAGGCGGAACCATTTGTTTACTGACAGTTTGAAGTTACAGTGGCACTGGAAAAAGTGACTTATGACCAGTCCTCACACTTATGTCTACTACAGCATCCCCACGGTCATGTGATCAAAATTCAAAGGCTTGGCAACTTAAATGCAATGGTTGCAGTGTCCCAGGTTTTGTGATCACCATTTGTAAGAGTCCTTCAAGTTTGGAGGTTCTATAATCTCCTCCAGGGATTTGAAGTGGACACCTAACATTAAAACCATCATTAAAAAGGCACAGCAAAGAATATTGTTTCTGGGTCAACTCAGAAAGTTCACCCCCCTCCTCCAGGAGCTGTTGATACAATTCTACGGAGGAATTATTGAGTCTGCCATCCCTACTTCAGCAACTGTCTGGCGTGGTAAAACAACCAAACAGGACAGCTACAGACTTTAACAGATAGTTATAGGACTGTAGCAAAAAAAAAAAAAAATATCTGCAACCAGCCTGCTTTTCATTGAGGACTTGTATATTACATGAAGGGCTGAGAAAATATCTACAGACTACTCACATCCTGGACATAAACTCCTTCCCTTGGGATGCTGCTATAGGGCACTGCATGTCAAAACAACTAAACACAGAGACAGTTTTTTTCCCTTGGGCCATCAGTCTGCTGAACACCTAATTCCCACAGTACTCTTATGCCTATTTACCCATGTGGTAAGGCTGTATTATTATTATCCTTCTCATCTTCTCTACTACCTCCTCTTATTGGTATCATTATTAAGATTATTATTACTCTGTTGTTTTGTATGTACACTGAGAGCCTCTGACTGGAGACAAATTAATTACTTGTGTGTATAATCACACTTGGCCAAATAAAGAAATTTAATTCTAGTTCTATTTCTAATAATTCTAACTCTATCCTTATCCTATTCTATTATATTCACCTTCCCAGCCAGCTTGTGATAAGGAAAGCCAATGGAGCAAGCTGGATTTACTTATTGACCACATGATTCATCTAACAACTGTAGTGATTAATTTAATAACCATGGCAAAAAAGGTCATAAAATTGGGCATGTCTCACTTAAGAACTATTTTGCTTAGGAAAGGAAATTGTGGTTGTAAGTTAAAGACTACCTGTATGCTATCCAAAGTTGATAGCTCAACACCTACAACCATAGAAAGCACACAGATGCTTCATAATTGTTTTAAAAAAGGTTACCATGTCAGTAGTCATCCAACCTATGTTGCAGCCTAAAAAGGGGTAACAAATTCCATTGTTCCTACAAGACATGTTCAATATTCTGGCAAGTTAACTGGGCAGAAAACCCCACCACAGCATCTCACTCCGTTCCTGGCAGTAAAATACCCAAGAGATAAACCAAGAGACAAGCACAAATGAAATAAATGTTTGTTGTCCTCTACTGCACTCCCTAGCATGCTAGTGACATGACTATGGACAGGCAGCGATTTCAAGAATTTATGCCGTGGAAGAAAATTATCTAGGCAAGCTTTTTCTTCATTAACAGTAGACACCCGCATACTGCAGATGCAACCACAAAATAGGTGTCAGCATCAAGATTTCTTGGAAGAACAGCACTCTAAATCCTGCACTCAATATTATCGATCCCTTTTTTAAAAAATGAAAGTAGTCTCAGTGTATTGCTTTTCTTCTTCAAGACACACCCAACAGTACCTGTTGAGTGCGTTGCACATCTCAATTGTCACCAGCACAGAGAGTGCCATGGTGGTTGGATAACGGGATTCGAAGATTTCACAGTCAATGCCTTCGAAGATGGGGTTGTCTTCTGTGCATCTCATGAAGTTCCTCTGTAGGCAGAAAAACACAACCTAAGGCTCAGTGGCTGCAAGGTGTGGCTTGAAGATTAAGGTCTTCCAAAGTTTGCAGTGGTATAAAGACTTCTAATTTCACTGGGGATAGTCATTACAGGAGGAATTTTACTATCATTTTAATGAAAACTTGGACTATTTTATATTGTGATCTTGTTCATTTTTATTACAAACCAGTTGAAATCTATAAAGCATAATAAATAAAAAAAACATAAACCTCAGCATGCATCAAATATTACAAGCAATAGGAAAATACTATAATCATTTCAAAAGGTAAGAAATTCTGCCATCTATATTGCACTCAGCTCCTACAGGAAAGTCAGGTTGTAAATCTAAAGATTTAACAAAGCTGAAATAACTCTGAAAGCACATGGAATAGAAAAACAAAGTTTAATGGCCTCTCTGAATCTAAATAAAGAAAAATTATGTATTTCCCGTGTTCTGTGTTAATACAAAAGCTCAGGAAAAAAGTCAATGTTTGATTTTTAGATGCTACATGTCTTTCTGTAGGGATGCTTTCCTACTCTGTGTGAGATTTGTCACATTGGTTAAACAATCTAAAGCATCACATTCTGGACATTAGCCAAAGTAGGAATTAATGGCTTTCCTTTTTTATGCAACTAGTAAATTTTGTCTCTCGATATCCATAATGATTCCCTACATTACAGAAACTCCTGCTGTTACCACAATCCAGTGGTAATCAATAGATATAAAGAAGAATGAATCCCTTGAAATGAAAAGGAATTCCTATGGAAAAGCGTAATAAGATAAATTAATTTTTTTTTAAAGTATAATGCTGTAATATCAGCTTTCTAAATAAATTAACAATAATATCTTCATCTTCTTGAAGCAATAAGATAAGAGACAGTATGTACATGTATGTAAGGATGTGTGGCTCATCCTTAAGGAGCTACATCTGTTCTTAGCCTCACCCTGATGCCATCCACATTTACTCTGAAACCACGTTTTTGGCTCTGGGTGTAACATGCATTGCATCTCTTCTCTGCAAGATATAAAGATGTAAACTGTGCTTTTTCTCTATTTAGATCTCTAACTTACCAGTTGGTGAAAAGTAACTTGAGGTCCTTCAGCATCGTACAAGAACCACCAAGTAGCTGCACCTACAGTTGCAAACCCAACATAAACTGCAAAGGGAAAAGGAAAATTAAATAAAGGAACGGGACTAAGTTAAACAGCTTTTTGGTCTTCGTTTTATGATGCTTATATCAGGAACCAGCCCAACCCATTCTGTCTAACTACATTCCAGCCACCATCACTACATGGTACATTTCAAATAAAAGCCCTAAGTCATCAGACATTGTTAATTCGGTCTATACAATGCTTCAGCAAAGAATCTAAGCAGCTTAAACATTACCTGTTTCATTCCTTAATCTATATACTACTAAAACTCTAGTTATTATGACCTTTAACTGGGTGAAATGATGCATTATACAGTGACAATTTTTGAACCAAGGTACCTCGATTAGGCTAACTTAAAGAATGTGTCCAAATCTGGGACCCATAACTCCTGAGCGAATGAAATAAGGGAAACATGTGGCTGATTTAACAGTACTTGTAGCTGCCAGGCTCTTGCTGCCATTTTGTATTTTCAATGTTCCGTGGCGGTTTCTCAATCAGCCATGAAATCCCTCATTCCCTCCCCTGTCCAGCAGCAGCCACTCACCTGCTTTCAGAGAAGGGAAGGAAAAGGAAAGGAAACAATTTCTGATGCTCCCACTGGAGCATTCTAGGATTTCAAATCTATTCATCTGGAAGTCACCCAAAATACGCATTACAAATGTTCTCACCTCCAATTGCAAGGTAGCGGAAGAATAACCATCCACTAATGAGAGGTTCCCTAGGATTCCGGGGCAATTTATCCATGATGTCAAGGTCAGGAGGGTTAAAGCCAAGGGCTGTAGCCGGCAGTCCATCAGTCACCAAATTCACCCAAAGCAACTGGACTGGGATCAAAGCTTCAGGAAGGCCCAGGATGGCCGTCAAGAAGATGCTGAAAATGGAATATCGTACAAATATATATATATTATGGCCTTCAGCAACAAAAATAATAAGGAGTCTGGACCCTAAATAGTACAATGAATGGTTGCAGGAACTAGGTATGTGTAGTTTAATAAAATTAAGGACTGGGGTGATATGACAGCAGTGTTTCAATATTTCAAGAGTTACCACAAAGAAGAAGGGGTCAACTTATTCTCCAAAGGCAGGACAAGAAGCAATGGATGGAAACTAATCAAGGAGAGAACCAACCAAGAACTAAGGAGACGTTTCCTGACAGTTAGAACTATTAATCGGTGGAACGATTAGCTTTCAGAAGTTGTGGGTGTTCCAACACTGGAACTTTTTAAGAAGAGACTAAACAATCATTTGTCCGGAATGATAAAAGTTCTCCTGCTTGAGTATGGCATTGGTCCAGAGCAGGTGTGTCAAACTGGATTTCTCTGAGGGCCTGATCAGCATTGTAGTTCTCCTCCACAGGCTGGCCGGGGTGGGTGGGAATGGGACGGAGATGGGACGGACACTTCCTGCAGCACTCTGCCGGCCAAAAAAGTGTGCGGCGGGGGGACTGTGAGAGCCCCCCCCCCCGTTCTCAGTCTGCATGGCTTCCTGCAGCACTTTGCCAGCCAAAACGGGGCACGGGCAAATTTTTATAATGTGAAACAGAGCTACACACCCCAAACAGAAGTGTTGGCACACCCTGAAAAGCTGCTTCCCACAACGGACATCTCTATTGCACCTTGGCACAATATTTGCATAATATACAGATGGAACACATTGTTACTTTCAAGCCAGCAAATTCAAATTATACAATGCAACCCAACAATAGAAGCATCAGATCAAAGACACCCCGCCAACATTAAGTAGTCCAGATATAATCTGGGGGTCACTCAGTCACTTTCTTTGAACAATATTTTCAGTTCGAGCTGCAGAGGCCCATTTTTACGTTCTAAGTTCCAGATACTACCTCTACCTTGTACTTAGGTTTTGGACAAGTTGTGGAGCTCTCTGCCTCACCTCACTGAGTGTCTTTGATTCCTCTGAAATGGGGACATTGTGATTAATCATGCTTGCCACAACAGTGAATTTGTACATGGACGTGTAGACTTTGAAAGCCATTTTGTGACAGGGTCTAGAGAAATTCTTCATGATTATAAAGTGCACATCTGGCCTCCCACAACTGGGGTCTGTTTTCCTCACTGAACTTTGCACCAGCTCAAATGGAACATTTTTGGTTTTAAAACTGAATGAAAACATAAGTTCCCAGATCTGAACTGAATGACCCCCACAAGAACAATATTTGACATAGTTTGCTATTATTTCTGTTGAATTTTCCAGCAGATGTGCTGGAGAATTGCCTCTTAAGTTGCAGTTGACTATACTGTATGTGGGGGTGGGGACATATAGCCCTCCCAGTGTTCCAGGACCCCACTCCTACCATCTCCAACCAAAATGTCCATCACCAACATAATATATGTACCCAGAGTTGCATGGAGTCCTTGATGACTTCACCAAACTCAGAAAGCACCAAGGTCTCCACAGAATGTCCAGTGTTTGTGATGGATGAAATCTGAAATCCCATAACTACTTTCTCTATATTATTTTCTGTTCTGACCAAGACTGCCTTAATGCTCTTACCACACAACTTCTCCAACATTAGAAGAAATGAGGTAGCGGATGAACTGCTTCATGTTGTTGTAGATAGCTCTGCCCTCCTCCACAGCAGCCACAATGGTAGAAAAATTATCATCTGACAAAACCATCTCTGCAGCTGATTTGGCCACCGCTGTTCCAGAGCCCATTGCGATACCAATTTCAGCTTTCTTCAAAGCAGGGGCATCGTTCACTCCGTCACCAGTCTAGGGAAAATAAAATTAATTTTACCCATAGATTTGCCACTGCCATGTTTGGGAAGTATCTCCAACACTGACCAGCCTGATGCCTCCAGAAAACCAGAAATTAAAAGCTAGTTTAGACTGTCAAAATAGCAACGATGGACAATTCTCTACTAGTCTATCTATATCTTTTGATATGTTATTAAATTAAATATCTTTATATTAGTTTTTCCTTACCTAGTCCTCTCTAGATGTAATGGATTAGGAATTTCCCAAATTCCCAACCAACATGAAGAAGAATTCTGGGAATTGAAGTCCAACATATCTGGATAGCACCAGGTATAAAGACTAAACCTTGGCAGTTTGATGTTGGATGGACTTCAGCTCCCAGAATTCCCCAGCTAGCATGCTGAAGTTGAAATCTTCAAGTTGCCATAGTTGAAAAACACTGAACTAGACTATAGATACATTCTAATCCAAGAAAGGGGGAAGAAACCTGAAGAATACACGCAACCCTATTTACTTAGTTATTTGATTTATATCTTGCTTTTTATATCTACATTGCCATGCTATCTTCCAATACCTCTAAGTAAGTCTGGACCATCAAAGGATGAAGAGGGATAATCTGAACTCACCATGGCTGTGATTTCATTAAATGACTGTAAGTATTCAACTATCTTGGACTTATGGGCAGGCTCTACCCGGGCAAAGCATCGAGCTGAACGGCAGGCATTGCTTTGGGCGTCTGGTGAGAGATCGTCAAATTCTCGGCCTGTGTATGCTTTGTCGGCCACCTTCTCACTCTCTGAGAAGATCCCAATCCTCCGGCAGATAGCCACGGCTGTCCCTTTGTTGTCTCCAGTGATCATGATGACACGGATGCCCGCTTTCTTGCACATTTCGATAGATGACACCACTTCCTTCCGAGGAGGGTCCAGCATTCCCACGCAGCCAACAAAGGTCAACTTAGTCTGCAGGCAAAAGGGAATGAGGGAATACATCCTTCCAAAGTTTAATTTTCTACTTTCTCGAACTTTGGATCTAGGGGAAATGTTGTATCCTAAAAGGTAGAAGGTAACTGCTCTTGAACCAACAGAAACCAGACTTGGATGGTGCCACTTCCCCTCAGAGCAAACTACTCAAAGTAGCAACTCTACTGACATGTTGATTTTAATCTGACAGACTGCACCTAGAAGAGGTGAACCTTACAACCATGTGCCTCCCCTTAATAACCTCAGAACCCCTTGCACAATTTCTCTGGAAAATGTATTGCTGTCACCTATTTTTAAGTGACAAACTTATTTTACTGTATCAAAAGTCTTTAAAAGACTTAACTTTTCAGTATAATTTATGGCTGGTTTAGATTTATAGGGGTGGATAGATTTTGTAAGGGAAGGATATTTGATTTTACATTTGGGATGCAACTTTGCCTTCCTTTTTGTGAGTGTGATCTCAACAGCCTTTGCCTAAAAGGTTACCCAGCCTTCTTCCAAATGTATAAAGACACACCGTTTGGAAGATTCCTTATAATCCACCATCGTGAAACCACAGAGCTGGAAGAGACCATAGAGGTTATCTAATCCAATGTAAGAACCACCAAAGCATCTCTGGTAGTTGGTCATCCAGTCTCTGTTAAGACCTCAGCAAAGACAAACTACCAAGTAACATGGCAGCTTATTCCACTGGCTGACAGCATGAACAGTGAGAAAGTTCTTTGTGCTTTTTAATTTGAGTCTCCTTTCTTGAAAATTTAATCTTCTGGTTCTGCCCTCTGGATAACAGAGAAGAAATCAACTCCCTTCTCCCACCTCCAGATATTGGAAGATTGCTATCAATTCTCACCTCCAAATTATCTTTTCTGTAAACTAATCCTACCTAGAGGTTTTAACCATTACCCATAAGTCCCAAAGGTGCTTCTTCAGGAGGTAACTGAACTTTCTTGGGGTGGGATGGGGTTGGAGGATGTTTTCCTTCTTATCCAAGAAGCTTTTTTAGCTCTGACAGGATAGTAGGGAATAGAAGGATTTATATAGAAGGAATATAGAAGAAAGAAATTCCAGTTGCCTCCTGAAAATGCACCTTTCGGACAACCATGACCTGGATGACTGAGAATCTCTACAGAACATTACCCATAAGGCTTAGTTTCCAGAACCTTCATTCTTTTAGTAGGTCTTCTCTGAAGCTGTTTGGCATGGCAGAGCAGATTGCTGTGCTAAACAGCTGAGAGGCGCAGTAGCTTAGTTTTTACTGTTTGGCACGCCTGTGCGCAATCGCGTGAGTCCATCCCTGTAACCACGCCCACCAAGCCATGCCCACAGAACCTGTGGTGGGAACTTTTGACTCCCACCACGGCTCCAAATGGGATCTGATCATAGTAGAGAGGGACAATTATTTCCTATGATTTGAATGTTATGCCTTATGAATGTACTCCAAAATTGTTTTGCCTTTTTAGCAACTGAGTCACCGTACTGGCTTATACAGGTAGTCCTTGATTTATAACCAATTGCTTAGTGACTGTTGGAAGTTATGATGGACACCCCCCCAGGCAAAGGTACTCACAACTCAGAAAGTCTTCTCGCCCGCCCCGCCAGAAGTCATATAACTGAATTTCGGATACTCAGAAGCCAGCTCACATTTATGGCCATTTGCAGCATCCCATAGTCTTGTGACTGTGATTTATGTTAGCAAAAATGCTCCATAGTGAATAATGGGCTCAATTACTGACCGTGGCATTTGCCTAAGGACCATGGGCTCCCTTAACGACTACCACAAAAAAAGTCATAAGATCAGGTTTGTCACGTGAGGATTGCTTTAGAGCTGTCACAACTTATGACCATAATGGGCAGGCTCTATGACTATCATAAGTCAAGGACAAGCTGTTTGTAATATAGTAGTCCTTGACTTTGACCACAATTGAGCCCAAAATTTCTGTTGCTAAGCAAGATAGTTGTTAAATGAATTTTACCCTATTTTATAACTTTCTTGCCACAGTTGCTAAGTGAATCACTATAGTTGTTAAGTTAGTAACACGGTTGTTAAGTGAATCTGGCTTCCCCATTGACTTTGCTTGTCAGGTTACAAAAGACGATTACATGACTTCAGCAGAGATGGGAAGGCCTGGGGGAAAAAAAAGGAAAAATTCGGGGGAAAACAGTTTTTTTCTGTTGTTTTCCAAAAAAATTTTTAAAAAAAGAGTGTGGAATATGTTCTTTTCCAATGATAAATAATATATTTATGACATGGTATTTAAACTATAAAAACACTTAATGAAAGTTTTCTGAGACTTTTTGTAAAGTCTTAAATTATTTCAAGTTCTCCCAGCTGAAGACAAACAAAAGTAATCTGTAATCATGGGATACAATTCAAGTAACATTGTACTTGACAAATGTATCTTTTCTTTTATGTATACTGAGAGTATTTACACCAAGACAAATTCCTTGTGTGCCCAATCACACTTGGCCAATAAAGAATTCTATTCTATTCTACTTCTCAATGCAGTTCTCAGATAAGAGAAATGTGCATTTGTGCCACTAGGGGGCACTGCAGGGAAAAGGCTAGAGTTTAGTTTGCTAAATTAATTAAACCTACTTTCTGTCCTCCTCTTAGCTTAAGGCTCGCTCCAGGACATTGCAACTATCCTAAATACGTGCCAGTTGTATGCCAAACATCCAAATTTTGAACATGTGACCATGGGGATGCTGCAAGGGTCATGAGTGTGAAAAATGGTCATGTCACTTTTTCAGTGTTGTTGTAATGTCGAATGGTCCCTAAAAGAAGGGTTGTAAAAGTTGAGGACTACCTGTAAGGGCCTTTAAAGAACCTCTTACCCGCTAGCCCAGGGGTGTTAAACTCAAGGCCCGGAGGCTAGATTTGGCCTGTGGGGTGCTTAGATCTGGTCTGCAGGGCTACTCTGAAAATGATGAAGGATCGGCCACAGAAAATGGGCTCCTGAGCTTTGTTTTTTGCTGTGACGGCCTGCTGCAACCCTCTGCCAGCAAAACTCAGGTCCTCCCAAGCTCTGTTTTCATTGGCAGAGGGTTGCAGCAGGCCGCTGCAGCCAAAAATGGAGCTTGGGAGCCCGTTTTCTCTGGCAGAGCACTTTGGCCACCACAGGTGCCCCCGACAAGAATGACGTCGAGAAAATGAAGGATAATAATGAAGCGTAATGTAAAATAAAATAGGTGGTAAGCTGAAAATGGAAATAATAGGGGATAAAGAATTGGAAACATGTGTGGACAAAATGATATTGATATTGAATTAATGAACTGAAATATGAAATGCAAATTTATTTAAAGATGAGTGAAATGGATAATAATATGAGATGATATTATACAAGATTAATGGAAATGAAAGTATGGCTATGTACAAGTGTTATAATCTGGAAACATGTTGCTCATGTGAAGAGATGTGTAAAAATAAAAAATAATAATAAAAAACTTTTTACAAAAAAAAGAAGAATGACGTCAAGCTGGCCACGACTAATGTAGCCACGCCCACCCTGGCCCCCCGAGGTAAAACATAACCCTGATGCGGCCCTCAATGAAATCGACTTTGACACCCCTGCTCAAGCCAGCCTCACTTACTTCATAGTTAATGAACTGGCTGGAGTCATCTAGATGCATGTCCTCTTTCCGAGGTGGATGGTCTCTTGTGGCCAAGGCGAGACAGCGTAAAGTGTCGATGCCGGTACCCCATTCCCGGATCCTGGAGAGGATCTTCTCTTTGATGGAAGAAGTCAAAGGGACTTGGTTTCTGCCAACACGAACGTAACTGCAGCGCTCAATGACACTTTCTGGAGCGCCCTTGAGAAAGAAAAGAGGTGAACATTACAGGTAATATATAATTAGATGAAACTTTGTGTTATATATTAATGTCATAAGTGTAAATGATTATGCTACATAATTTGAGAGATGTCAGATTGAGTGAACACTGTCTTGCTCACATTGAGATAAGTTGAATGTTTGGTTTTATTGTATTTGTATAAATTCGTTTAATAAAGTATTTTTATTAAAAAAAAGAGAAAGAAAAGAAATGAAATTTCTAAACTGACCCAGATGATCAAGTAGGTAAACTCTTGGAGACTTATGGAAAGTGTGTGTGTGATTTTAAACCCTGTAAATCTTGAGTTGGGTGAAGCTTTGCCTTCTCTCCAAAAGTTTTAGCCTAATGTCATTTATTCATCTAGTCAAAGAAGAAATTAGTAAACACTTGAGTAGTAAAGAAATGAAGGGCATTTAACATACTTAGGAGTTTATTTTAGTTCAAATTTATGTCTGTGATCTGATTAGCTTACATTTGAGGATGTGATGTCTGTGCTCACTACTCAAAGGCCAAAGGCCATTGCTAAAATGTATGAAAAATACATGTTTCTTCTTGCAAAGAGTACTTAATTTATTAGGTCAGAATGCCTATTTTCTCTCTCCAAATAAGTTATGCATTGAAAACTAATCAAAGACCACCCCCTAGTGGAAACGCAGGACTTTAAGGGAATCTCTAGGAGATTCAGTCAAAATTTATTTTGAAACGCAGACACTCATTCTTTTTCAAGATGTGTCAAACTTATCAGGGGAAGGGAAGAAAGGGAAGAAAGAATGGGGGGAAATCTGATAGGCACACATCATTTCCTTGCTTAAAGCAAAACCATTTTGCTACTAAAGAGACAGAGTTCAATCCTCTAGAGCAGGGGTGTCAAACTCACGTTATCATTGTGGCATCACAAGACATATAGGGACTTTCCCCCCCTTTGCTAAACCGGGCATGGGTGTGGCCAGCGCATGATGCATCCAGCCTGTGGGCTGGAAGTTTGACAGTCCTGCTCTGGATCAAAATGGGTAACACTCCTTTACAACCTGTGAATTTCAACTCCCAGAATTCCTAAGCTAGCATGACTGGCTGGCTGAGGAATTCTGGAAATTGAAGTCCACAGGTCATAAAGGGTCCATGATTGCCCACCCCATGGCATTCTAGAGCAGTGTTTTTCAAACTTGGTAACTCTAAGAAGCCTGGGCTTCAATTCCCAGAATTCCCATTCTGGCTGGAGAATTCTGAGAGTTGGTCCACGCATCTTAAAGTTGCCAAGTTGAAAAATGCTGCTCTAGTCCCTAAAGGAGTTCCTCCTCTTGACACATCACAGCAAACTCATCGATACATTAGATGGAAGGGCTGAGGAATCTGAGGGGAATGTAAATTCTAAAAATATTAAGTATTTTAGGAATAAAGAAAACTATCCAGGAAATGAAGAGAGAAATGAGAAATGTAATGAGGACTGAGAGGAGGAGGAGGAGGAGGAGGAGGAGGAGGAGGAGGAGGAGGAGGAGGAGGAGGAGGAGGAGGAGGAAGAAGAAGAAGAAGAAGAAGAAGAAGAAGAAGAAGAAGAAGAAGA